TTTTATGATTACAAAAATAAATTATGCTGACAATAATACAAGCAAGGAAATGAGTACGGCTTTAAAGGCTCGTATACAAAAACGCCGAACTGATATGAGTAGACTTCTGCAATACCTGCATAACGGTCAAGGCTCCGTTGAAATCGATGAAGAAATAATTACAATGCATTCTTTATTTAAATGTCGAAAGCTGTTGGTAGAATTGCTGGAAAGATTAAACGCTTCCAATCCTGCTTTAGTAAAAACATCAGTTGAGTCTGATATGTTGGATTTTATTGAAGAACCTGAAACTGAAAACAACACTTTAAATATTGAAGAGGAGCTTGATCGTGTAATTAAAGAAACGCAATTACCGATGCAACCAGTTAGACATGAAACATTGTTATCAAAAATTCAAAAATAAATGACATTTGAAAATGGTGGTACACGTGGTGATTATTTAAAAAGAGTTTGTTCATTTCTAATGACGGCGAAACTGACAAGTGTCGAGGCTGAGCGGGTATTTTCTTCTGCTGGACTGTTTCATAATAAAATTCGTAATAGGTTGGGCAATGAAGCATTGGACGCGTTGTGCTTCCTGAAGTCATATTTCAAAGTAAATGAAACATGATATATTTCCTTATTTCTTAACATTAATTAACATACTTTTCTTGTGTGCATGTAACGATGTAATGCAAACAGCATCATTTATAAAACATATTTTTGTTTAAGAGTGTACAGTTTTTATTCTATTTAATACTATATAGGTGCTATATCGGTTTTTCAATCCCGGAATCCCGGGATTGAGAAAGACCTCCGGGATTGCAAACCCTAATTACAAAGATACACATAAGCAATAATCAATTTACATTGATTTAAGAACCATTAAAAAAGAATTAATAGATGGAATATTAAAATGTCATAATTAGGGCATTATTCCTTTTATATTGCAAAGCTACACATAAACATTTATTATTTCAAAAACTGATAAAAATGTGTTCATGGATAGAATATTAAACTGTAATAAATTTAGCAATTAAAATGTTTTTAAAATTAAAAACCTTGTTGCGAATTTCCAGGACCGATAATACGTGTTGTTAAGATTCAAGGTCGACGACACCTGTTGTGAATATTTACAATTTAACTAGTTTAATTTAGTAATTTTATCATTTTCAGAAAACGTTTTTTTCCTTCATAAATACCTAAAAAAAATAGTTTTTAGGCCTTCTCAATACAATAAGTGATTCAATTCAACACCTTTTTTTTGTTGTGTAAGGATACTGTTTATGTAACCAGTGCTGCCGAGAGAAACTTTTGGCTTTTTATAAAACTTTTGACTTTTTATGAAAAAGTTTTATTCACGGACTCTGATTTTTATCAATCACATACCCATGACCACCAGAAACGTGCTCTGGCCTCTATAAATTAAAAGAGAAAACTAATTGAAACTTTCAAACTTTTCAAAAAAGTCAAACCAATTTCAATCTTTTAAAGGTAAAGTTTGGAAAAAGTGTAAAAAATGTTAAACACTGTTTCATAATAGAGCTCCAATTCGCAAAAAAATTAATAACTTCTTCAAAATTAATTTTCATAGTCATTGCAGCTTCAATAGATAAAAGTCCTAATTCATTTAAGCAAATATGTGTCATTGTTAATAATAATAATAATAATAATAATAATAATAATAATAATAATAATAAAGTTTTTTATTCTTTTCAACATACTAAATTATCTTTCTGCTTGTTCAACTACTTTTCTTGCTTAATTCAAAATTTCTTTAACTCAAAAATGGAATTAAAACTTTGAAAACAATCTTACCTCTAAAGGTTTATAGAATAATAAAATTCGAACTAATTGTATCTATGCATAGATAGACATGTAAACTTCATATGAAGTTTACATGTCCTTAGCAGCCAAATAAAAATCAACAAGTGTTAATTGTTTTAAAAAATGATTCAAAAAACTTCTTTAAGTTTTCATTTTGAGCTTCTTGTGCCTCTTTACTAAAGAGGCATAAGAAGCTCAAAACTCCCTAAATAATAAAGTATCAATTAGCTAAGCTAGTCAAAAAAGCTAGACAATATTGTACACAAAGCAACATGTAACATCTTTATCGTACTGACATCAAGTTCAAGAATTAGAGCAAACTTTTCTGCATTCTAAAAAAGTCTTCTAGCAGTGTTTGCATTATTTAATGACCCAAAGCCACCAGATACTGGCATATCAGTCCAACTTCGTCACGAAACTTTATTTGAATTTTCTGTTTTCTTTTTTATATAATTTTTTTTTCAAATGGTGTCCTTGTAGAGCACTTTTTCACTGTTATTTTATATTTAATTTTAAAAAGATATTCCATGCTTTTATTCCAAGCATGGAAAGTTAAAAGGCCAAAGCAGAGACCTATCTCTGTCAACGACATATTTTTAGCTTCTACTAAAAAATTTTGGCTTTCTATCTCAACTGTTGCCTGATTATAAATCCTTAGGCTAGTTGGTTCATCAAACCGAACTTTAGAATGTAATATTAGTCTTTTAAGACCATTCATGGAATTGATAACTTGTTTCTGCTGTATTACGCGTATTGTTGTATGATCAACTAATGATTGAAAGTTTATTTTTTCAGAAAAAATATTAATAGTTCATAATGTTTTTTCAGCAAGACATTATTATTTACCAGCACGAACATTTTTGTATGCAGAATAGAGATTACAACCTTTACACACAACATTATTTCTCAAATGTAAGTAATTAGATTTGCTCATATTATTATCTAATATGAGTGCTAGAGCTTTTTCAGAGTATTTTGATCTGGTTCTGAAACAGAAGGCTACTTAACAGATAAACCAGGGGTGTGGAGTCGTAAAAAAAGTAACGACTCCGACTCCAACTCCAGTTGTTGAAATTTTTTGAGCATCACTCCGACTCCGACTCTTACTCCAAAGCAAATTTTTGAAAAATTGTTTGAAATCTTTAAAAAATAATACGCGATAAGTTAATTTTTTTTTTTTTTGACAAATTTATGAAACGTTCTTTGACGTTTAGTATAAACATAAGACTAATTGAATGTTTTTACATGCACGTGCAATACCGAGAAGTTTACTATTGGAGTCGGAGTCGCGATTTTGTTTAGCGATTCCGACTCCGTTAAAAATGTCGCAATTCTGCAACTCCAACTCCAACTCCGCAGCCCTGAGATAAACTTAAATTACTTTCACATTAATTCTGTCATCTTTAAAAAGATTACAACTATAAGCTTCTAACAGTTCATTTAAATAACTAGTTAATAAGTCGATAAGTGCTACTTTACGACTCTTTGTCTTATTTGATGAATTTTTAAATGATATATATATATATATATATATATATATATATATATATATATATATATATATATATATATATATATATATATATATATATATATATATATATATGTCATCTTTCATTTTACAGCAAGTATTCAAAAAAGTAGCAGATACTAGCAGCTAGATAATTAATTTCATGAAAGCATATATGTATAACCTTCAAATTATGTATAAGAGATAATGGCAAAATATTAGATAACAGAGCACAAAATTTTCCTTTCAAGAAAAAAGTAAAAATAGGACATTTGCTACCAAAACTTATATTCGAAACTATTTTATAGATTTTTTTTGATTTTTTTTTTTTTTAATTTTATATATTCCCTTACGGAAATATTTCATGGAAAACCCATGGAATTCCATGAGTAAACCATGGTTTTCCCATAAAAAACTGGAATTTCCATGGGTGAATTTCATGAAAATTGAAATCCCATGGAATTTCCATGATTTTTTTTTTCATGGCTTATGCTGCGCCATGGTTGTTACGAATGCGCTTTTAAAGGTGGCGTCAAAGCTCGTACAATTACAATTACTTTTAACTTGAGTAAACAATACTTACCGCATTCTTCTGTTTTTCTGTTTTTAATAAGACTATAAATGATATGTTTGTTATAATGCATCACATTTATATGATTCAAACTAATCATACAGACATAAGCAACTAGATATATTTATCATAATATAATGCATTATAAAATGGATTATTTTTAATTATATTTAATTTTATATCATTTATGCATATACTTATTTTAACTGTTTCAAGTAGCTTTGCATAACTTGCAATAGTTTAGCAAGTATGTCAAGTAAACCAGTTTGAATTTTAATGCTTACTTGGCAAATTATTTTCCAAATAGTTATTAGTATCAGAAAAGGAACTTAATTAATGCACAAGATTTTACTTCGTCGTTAAAAATAAGCATATAAAAGCAATGTTTATAAATAATACAGTATTATTTATTAAAATACAATTATTTTTATTTGTTTATATTTAACTAATGTAAAGTGCTCGTCTTTAGTTAAAATAAATTAATTTATGCACACACTTTGATATTTATTATGCTTTTACATTACTATACTTTATAAATTACATATTTAATAAATTTGTTATGTTTTAAATAGTAAAGTAAAAATATAATAAATTTAATGGTGTGTGCATAAGTTCTTTTATTTTAACTTTATCATTTTATTTAAATTACTGCATTATAAGTAGGTAAGTTTGACTGACAATATAAATAACGTTGTATATCATGCAGACAGCTCAGACAAAGAAGTAAGTTTTTACTTAAAATTACAATTTATAAGTTATACTATATTTGTTGCTGCCTTGTTCTATATAAATGTTACCAACATGCAGGTAAAATTTATATATGTGTATAAATCTTTTCATTTTAAGTTTATCGTTTCATTTAAGTTACTACATTATTAGCAGGCAGGTTTGACTTGCAATATAAAATTTTAATTTATTTATTTAGCTGTTCATTAATAAGTCCGGTGCTTTATAATATATTTAAAGGTGGTAAGGACGTGAAGAAAACAGGTTTGTAAATCATTTACAAACTTACTTCTTCTTCTGAGCTATCTGCATGATGTACAACATCATTTAGTAAATGATGTTGTACATCATGCAGATAGCTCAGAAGAAGAAGTAAGTTTGTTTTTTTAATTACAAAAATAAATATATAATATAATATTTGTTGCTGCCTTGTTCTATATAAATGTTTCTAACATGCAGGTAACATATATGTATTAGTTTGAATAAATCATTTTAATTAAGTTACATTATAGGCAGGAATGTTTAACTGGAAATATAAACGATGTTGTTCATAATGCAGATAGCTTAGGCGAAAAAGAAGTAATAATCTAATAATTGTTATTTATAAATAATGATATATTCATTGCTACTTTTTTCTATATAAATGTTACCTAACATTTGGCAACGTTCATAATTGTGTATAATGCCTAATTATAAAGTAAGTTATAATAGATAATAATTATTAGTAAAATGAATCAGTAAATAAAGAAAACTAGTTAGAATGTATATAATAGTTGTATGATGTATTGTCTAGATTGGTGAAATGGAGAATGAGACTAACTACGGTGGAAAAATAATGAACATCAAAATGTGAATGGTACTTTGTTTGACATCTACCTGTTTCTACAGACACAATGCAGTCACACTTATAAATGGGCTTGATGTTTTTTTGGATTGAATATGTTGTATTGATGGTTTTTTTTAACTTGTTAAAACTTTAAGTTATTATCAAATTTATATATACTATTTTTATCAAATAGTTAATATAAAATAATAAACATGTAAATTGTTTTATTTTCTGTAAAAATATTTTTCTTGATATATTTCAATTGTTTATCACTATGTATATCACTTATAGTATTATATTACTTGTAATTTTTTGTTTTATTTATTTTCAGTATGTTATACATATGCATGCATTAAATATTATGGGGAAGTCAAGTTTTGATGTTTTAGGTGCATTATAGCTATTATTTTTCAAAGATTTGTAGGATTTAACAAGATTTAAATTTTATTTTGTTTATTGATTTTATTCGGAGAAAGCGATCCCATAGATTAAGAGAACTCAATAATATTAGTGTGATAAAATTTGCTTTTATGATTTAGTATGAGAATTCAAATAACATTAGATCAAAAAAACTTGAAAAAAAATGCTTTTTCACCATGAAAAATCCATGAGTTTTCCTTGAAAAAGTGTTCTTAATACCTATAAAAATTCCATGGTTTTTTCCATGGATGGCACCTAAAAATTATATATATATATATATATATATATATATATATATATATATATATATATATATATATATATATATATATATAACTAAAATTTATAGTTGAAAATTTACAAAAAACAACAGCAATCAGTTTACTTTAATTAGTTAAACTTTAAAATTTAAAAATGCAACACTAATAAGAAATCAAGTTATGCAATCTTTACAACAATTAACGATTTACAAAGAAAATTAACGAAAGAATAGTTAACGACATCCATTGAAAAAATTCGAACTTTACAAAAAAAAAATAGCAAGAATAAAAAGAAGCATATTATGTTAAAAATTCACATACTTTTATTCTTTAAGATTTTTTGGAAGCGATAAATAAGATGAATAATTAAGACTTGTTGAAAATAAGTTATTTGTACACACACACTGAGTCCCTTTCCGCTGTCTACCCCACTCTTGGCGGCCATGGACGTAACTTTATCGTCCGAGCCCAGTGACAAATTTATCGGATGTCACCCAACAGTATTAGTAATTGCGTATATTTTTGTTAAATATTTTTAAAAAAATGTTTACAAAAGTAAAGGTATTACTTAACTATAATGAAATAAAAGTTTGATCTTTACAAAATATTTAACAGAAGAACTTTTCTTCGCGTACTTATTTCCGCAAAAGTTTCAATGACGTCATCAAAGTTTACAGACCGGGTAATAAAGTTTTCAATAGACTGAATATTCAAGTAGCCCGTGTTGATTGAATTTCTTAAATAAGTTTTAAATTTTTTATTAAATTTCTTAAATAAGTTTTTATCAATTTTAGTTTTGAAAATCTCAGGTATCAATTCTAGGACTGCTGTTCTAATTTATGTTATTTATATAAATAAATGTTCTAATATTTTAAATACTTAAATAAATTTTCTAATATTTTAAATACAGTTTTATTTGCCGATGATACTTTTTTGTTTTATTCTAACGAATACAATAATCTTTTGTTTTTAACAGTTAACCAAGAACTTGATAAACTAACCCAATGGTTTAAGTCCAACAAATTATTTCTAAATATTACTGAAACTAAATATACCATTTGTGTTAACAAAAATTGATTCAATCGTTTAAGTTTATTTGTTTCTTTAGCTTTATCTGTTGTTTTAAAAAGAGAGTTTTTACATTAATAAAAAATTCACAGAAAACTATTTTTATATTTTAAAATACTTTAAAATTTTACAATTTTAAGTTAAATTTATTGAATAGCTAGTCAAAAACTTAAACTGAAGACTTCAAAATAAACTTCAGTTAAGTTTACTTTTATCTACAAACTTTAGTATATATATATATATATATATATATATATATATATATACATATATATATATATATATATATATATATATATATATATATATATATATATATATATATATATATATATATATATATATATATATATATATATATATATATATATATATATATATATATATATATATATATATATATATATATATATATATATAAATTGAAGCATTATTCCAATACATATTGAGAAAAACTGCACTATATAAAATGATTCTTTATTATTAATAAACCGACAATTTCTCTGATACATAAAGCCGTTTCTATTTTGTCTTTGAAGGTGAACTGAAAATTTTCCAGCAAAATGAATCAGATATGTCTTTTTTATGTAGATCTAGAAATTGTAGAGCTTTTTTTAAAAGATCAGTGCCATTTAAACTTTTTTTTTTTAAACAGGCAGGTTGCAAAACTACTGTAAATCATGAGATGCTTTTATAAAAACTAAAAAATTATGGTGTTAAAAACAAAAATTTACTTTGGTTTAAATCATATCTAACTAACAGAAAACAATTTATACCTAAAAAATAAAAAGAATCAAAAATCAACCTAATAACTTGTGGGGTTCTATCTTAGGACCATTATAGTCCTAAGATAGAACTTTTAGAATAGATAGAAATTTTTACTTTGTATAAATGACTTATATTTATCATCAAAAATATTAATCACTATCTTATTTGCAGATGAAAATAATTTATTTTCTTCTCACAAACATATTATTGTTCTTTTTAACATTTTTACCGAATTAAATTAGATCAACACGTGGTTTATAAGTTGTTTTTTTATTGTTATTTAGGTGCCCCAAGAAGACCTAACGGTCTTGTCACAGAGAAACGGGAAAGTGCATTTAACCAGCAAATTCTCGCCTCTTTTTTTATCGTGACGCAAAAATATATCCAAGGCTCATTTCAAACCTGGATCTTCTGCTTATAAAGCAAGCGCTCTAACCACTGCGGCCGTATAAATAACTAACTTATTTAAATGTCAATAAAACAAAGTTTATTCTAGAATTATTGAACAATTTAAGAGGCTTATAGAATAGCTATTCTATAAGCCGACTATAATCCTCTTAAATTGTCCAAACTTTTAATAAATAACATAATAATTTAAAGGGAATTGGCAATAAATTTTTTAGGTCTTTTAGTAGGAGTGTCTTTAGATAAAAAAAAGTGTCATAGAAATTCCATATTAAATATATCGAAAATAAGATCTATTATTAAAGATTTATTATTAAGAAACGGTTTTGTTCTATATAACATAAAAAGTATTTTTATGTTATATAGAACAAAACCGTTTCTTAATAATAAATCTTTAAAAAATAAATATTTTTCGTTCATACGCAGCTATCTTTCTTAATGTAACGTTTCCTAGGGTAGCACTAATCACACTAAATTCAAAAAAATTTAGAGCAAACAAAAACGTACTTGCAGGATTGTGTTTGGGGCAAACAAGAATGCACATTGTGAACCTATCTAATGTCAGTTTGGAGCTTTAAATATTTACGAGATTAATATTCATCAAGTTATTTATTATTTATGTTTAAAGCAAAATGTGGGTTATCTCCAGTAACTTTTCCATTATACTTTATTGAAATCTTATCTATATTGTACCAAATTTTCAGTGAACAACTTTGTCATTCCCATAAACCATTTTAAATTGAGCTTGTACCAAGTTCAATATCAGCCTTTTGTTTGGAAAAATTTTTTTTTATAGTTATTTTTAATAAAAAACAAGATATTATTTTTAATGAAAAGCAAGATTTTGTTTTAAAGCTGATTCCAAACGGCATTTACTAAACATGGACTCCGATATACTAAGTTTCAAATATCTTTTTTAAAAACAGTTTAAAAGTTTTTTAAATAAATAAACCGTTTAAAATTATTACATATTCTCTAGCCTTTTTTTACTAATTGTTTTCCTTTTTAGTTTTATGTTTTTGTTGATATTTATTAATCAGCCCTAAATATATTTATTTACGCAAGTTTATACTCATTACGCAAAAACTTTTGGCGCGAACGGACTTTTTTAAACTAAATAAAAATGGCTAAATTTATCATTTCTCAAATTAAAGACCTATTAGATATTCATGAGAAAACTTAATTAAAAATATTTAACGAGAAGTTTGATAAAATGGAAATTAAGCTACTAAATCTTCAAGAACAAAATACAAAACTAAAAATAGAAACTAGTGAACTAAGGAGATCGGCGGAGTTTCTTAGCGATAAATATGAATCAGTTGTTCTAGAAATTTCCGGAAAAAGGAAAAAAAAGTGGCAATAAAAAAAAGTACAACAGAACCATAATAGTTACTTTTTTAAACTACAAAGACAAAAAAACTGCGTTGAATAACTATGTTTAGTTAAAATTGTGGAACGATCGATTTTACGTAAATGTCTTCATTACATTCATACAGCGAAAGAACTTTCGAATTGCAAAACAAGTTATTTAAAAAAGCAAAAGATTTGAGAGCCAAATCTTTTCCTTCTTAAAAAAAAAACTTTTTAAAAGTTCTTTAATCTTAGAGTTATTTTTTTATCTTTATTATTCTTTTAATTTTTATTGTTTTTAAATACTGAAATGGATTCATATCACTCTAAGAATTTTGATATTTTTCAATTCAATGGTTTTATACTTAACAAAGAGTCTGATCCGGATCAAAGTTATTTTAGTGAAACAAATGCTTTACAAAGCAACTGCAGCTATTTTTATAGTTATGAAATAAAAGAACTTCTTGAGCGTGATAAATTTAATGTAGTTCATATAAATATAAAAAGTTAAAAATTTTTTTTCATTTTTGAAATAATTTTGAGGAAAACCTAATTATTTTTAATAACAATTCATATTTAAATAACAATTTTATAATACCGGACTATAATTTGACTTCATTAGGGTGGTAAACAAATAAACACAGTGGTGGTTTATTATTTATGTAAAAGTATTATATTAGGCATGACATGAGGGTAGCAGGAAAAAATCCCCCGGGAAAAAAAAAAGATTAGATGTTGTTGTTGCCCGCCTATTGGCGAAATTAAAGCTTTTAGTACATTTTTACATGATGATGTTATAAATAAAAGCAACGAAAAAATTACTTTACATAATAGGTGATCTGAATTTAAACTGCTTTGAGTATCACATCGAAAAAGAAATCAATGGGTTTATAGCGGCCTATTTAAAAATGAAGCAGTTCCTTTAATAAACAAACCAACTAGAATTACTCAAACAAAAACTTCCTTCATTGATAACATTATAACCAACAATAGTTTTGATAACTCCATTAAAAAAGGCATTATTAAATATGGCATATCTGATCATTTTACCTACTTTCATTTCAATAGAAATTTAAGCAAAATTTTTATATAATGAAAAAAAATTATTTAAAAAACGAAGTTTTCATAATAAAAATATAGAATCTTTTAATTATCAATTATCTATAGTTGATTGGGACTGTATTAACTTTACTGAAGACATTGATTTAATATACTAATCTTTTTTTAAATTTTTTTATGAAATTTATGACATCTATTTTCTTAAAGTAGAAGTAAATTACAAACATAAAAAAGTTAAATCGCCATGGATTACATAAGGTTTTCTAAAATCTTCTTAAGTTAAACAAAAACTTTATATTAACTATTTCAAATTAAAAACAACTGATATTTTAAAAACAGTAAAAATTATTCCTATATTTAAAGAAGGAGAAAAAACTAATATAAAACACTATCGTCCAATTTCCATCCTCTCTGTTTTTTTTAAAATTTTAGAAAGAATTTTGTACAACAGAATATACAATCACCTTTTATCAAAAAAACTATTATGTAACATGCAATATGGATTTTTAAAAAATAATTCAATAGAGCATGCAGCTTACAAGAAGTCTCTCAGACTCATTTAAACAATTCTAATTTCACATTGGGAATATTTATGGATTTAACAAAAGCGTTTGATACAATTGATAATAGAGGTGTTGCTAAAAATTGAAATATTATGGTATAACAAGCAATGTTTTAAAATGGTTGAAAAGTTATTTAACTAATCGTAAATAATTTGTTTACACCGATGAAACATTTTAACATAAATATGTTAAATAACGGGTGAGAAGTTCCTCGAGGATACATATTAGGACCTCTTCTTTACCTTATTTATATTAATGATCTATACAAAGCCTCGGATTTAATAACAGTTATGTTTGCTGAAGAGCTAATCAAAATATCGGAGTGGTTTAAGACTAATAAATTATCTTAATATTGATAAAACTAAATGGATTCTTTTTCATCCTCTTATCAAAAAGTATAAACTGCCAATTAACATGCCTCAACATGTTATTGACAAAATACAAATTAAAAAAGTAACCGTAACCAACTTTCTAGGTGTTTGTATAGATGAAAATCTTACATGGAAAAATCACATTAAAAACTTATCAAATAAAATTTCCAAAAGTATAAAAATATTGTAGAAAGCAATAAATGTTTTAAATAAACATACTTTAGTACAATTATATCACTCATTTATTCATTGTCACATAAACCATGCAAACATTGTTTGGGGTAGTACAAATAAAAATAAACTTAAACCTCTTTAATGTCAGCAGAAGCATGTCGCACGTCTTATATATTTTAAGGACCGTTATACTCACGATAAGCCTCTATTATTTAAAATGAAAGTTTTTAAAATATATGAGCTTAATATTTTTAATATTCTTTGTTTTACGTTTAAATGTTAAACCAATTCATCCCTGATTTCTCTCCATAATTTATATCCATTAAAAGATAAAAGTAGATACATATAACAAAGATGATTTTATTAAACAGCCCGTTTTTCAAACAAATCTTTTTAAATTTTGTATTGATTATCTCGGAACTTTCTTAAGGAATAAAATAGTTTTAGAAAATTTTTAATAAGGATTTTATTCAAAGTAAATACTTTCTCTTTAACAAAAGCTTAAAAAACTCATTTTTACAATCAAAGATTTAACAATATACTTTCTTTTTAAATTCTATTTAAACATGAATTTATAAAAATTATATGTGTATAATTAATAACTGTAACCTACATATATAATAGATACAATGCATCCTGTATTTATGAGGGAATATTTTAAGATTCTCACTTCGTTAACTTATTTTTTATCTTGTAAATATCTTATAAATTTTAACACGAACATTTCTTACCGGTACTTGACGACCACATGGTTTTCTACGAGTCCCCGCGTTCTTTTATTTTTTAATAAAGATCATTGTATTTATATTTTTTTATTATTATATTTTTGTGTTTTAAATATTGTTACAAAATGTTTATTTAAAATGCTTATTTAAAATTTTTGTCGTAAAAGCAAAGACCAGTTTTTTGTTTCTTACCGAGGTCCTTATCTCTGGAACAAAATAGTCTTACCAAATTTTGATTTTTCAACCCAAATGACTTTTGCTTCATTCAAACAGAAACTTAAAAAAGTTGTATTTTTAATTGAAAATATCTTGATTTATTTTTAATTGCCTTTTTTTTGTTTTATTTTTGTTGTTGTTTTATTTTGTATATTATTTGGTTTAAAATTTTATCTTGGCTTTTTAACATTTTATCTTGGTTTTTAAATATTTTTGCATAGAGGTGTATTATTATTTCACTACAGACATTGTATTTTTACCATGACAAGATCCTCGTGATCTTCTAGAAGTCCTGTCGTTACTAATGTAAAAAATTGTAAAATATATTTAGTTATTGTAATATTAAACGGCAAAAATAATAATAAAAAAAAAATAAAATGTAATAAAAAGAACAAATAATTCACTTTTGTCTTATTTTATTTTTTTAAATTACTCCGCTGGAAGATTGTTTGCAAAACTTTATTTTATTGCTGACATTTTGTATGTACTTTTTTGTTTTATTTATCACTTATTTACTTATGTAACGGGGCTCAGTGGTAAGCCAAATCTGTCTTCTTCTGCCGGTCAAGATTTTCTATTGTAGTAATTTCTTTGTTGTACTTTTTAACAAACGGCAAAACGAAAAAGAAAACAAAAACACTGAGATGGGACAAGTTTCATGTATTGGAGGGAAATATATAAAATTTGATGTGCAATAATCAAAATATGTTCTTTTTAATGGACATGAAAATTTTTAAGCTTCTTCTTTCCATAACGGGTTTTGGAAAATTCAGGTTTGATGATATAAGATTTAAAAACGGAAGCAATTAGTGTAGCCAAAACTGCACTATTTGCTTCCTTTTTTAAATTTTCAAATTCATGTCGATACCTTTATCATTCTCCCTTAAATTTTAAGGAAGAATGGTAAAGGTATCGACATGAATTTGAAAATTTATAAAAAGAAGCAAATAGTGCAGTTTTAAGATAAAAATTTTCAAACGTTTTAAGGCATTTAAAAAATTGGCGAATCAGACCAAGGAGTTATAATAGATTAGCTGGAGGGAGAACGAAACCGAAAATCGTTTAAAATTGTGGTACAGTCTTAGTAGTATAACTATTCCCGCAGGAAAATCAAAACGGCGCCTTCACGTTGATAAGAGAAATTTTTGAAATAAAGTTTGTAACCTTTGAAAGCTGTAATCGAACTGAATTACTCTCTTAAAAAATGACTGGAAAAATTTTTAACAATTGTTCGAACTATTAAGAAGTAATCACAACAAAAATCTACGTAATTTATTTTTTGAATGGTTCATACTAGATATAAATAACAAAGTTTTAAACAATCTTTACTTTACAAAGTTTTAAACAAACTCTACGTACTAAGGACTTATCTTTACTTAATCTGGTTGAACTTTATCTTTTGCTTCCCCGTTTAACTATATGCTGGTTACGTTCTTAGGAACGTTAAGTACGTAACAAGTTGGTAAGCAACTTATTATATCTCACTAGGATTTTATTTTATGTTGTAGTATTTTTGTTGGATTTAAAAACAAATTGCTATATTTTAAATATAGAGATATAAAATAGCTTTTTTAAATTCGGTATAAATACTTTCCTTTCGTAGGAAATTATTAATTCAATTTTAATCTAATTTATTATAAGTCGCTTCAAAAAACACAACAACGAAAAACAATAAACTAACTTTAAATATAGTTTACAAATTTTTCTTAACTTCCATCCAGCGTTGCCACGCTTACTTTTTTTCGAAACTGTAAATTTGACAAAAATAAACGAAAAAAATCTGTAGATTATAGTGGAAAACCGTAGAGTTTTTTTGTTATAAATTTATATCATAACGTCATTAAATTATTTTCTATTTCTTTTAAAAACTTTTGAAATGACATTAAATATAAAACTTGATATACTATTTCAAATTTCGATTCTATGCCCTAAAAAATCCTTAAACTGTTGCAAAAAAAAAAAAAAAAAAAAAAAATGCTTTATATCAATAACTAATTAACTCAAGTATGAGTATTAATCACGTGATTTTTATTTTATTCAATAATTTACTTGATTAAAAACAGTTATTTAAAATTTATTAAAAAGTATATAAACATAAAAATAATATAATAATGCAGCTAATTTAATATTATTTATTTGTTTGTTAATTTTTTAGGCCGCACTTTTTGTTAATTTTATTTGTTAATTTTACTTAGCCTAAAAGAAAGATACAAGAAATACATTAAAATAAAAAGGTTTTTCTGCGTACTTTTTTGTGCTTAAAATTTGTTTGTGGTTAGTCTAACGGTTTTTCTAAGCAACCTAAATTAGGATGATATGCGATAATAAAACTGAATTAGATTCAAATATACTTTCTAAATAATTTTTTGAATATACAAATTGAAATTAAAACTTTTGAAAATTTTTATATTTATTAAACTGTGTAGAACCATGACTAAGGCTATGGTGCATAACCTGGTGACAAAGAAAAACATCCAATTATTGTCAAAAGATATAAAGATGCAAAACACAATAGAGCACATCTGTCTAACGTCATGGCAACAATCTTCCATTCTTTTAAAATATTACTTTCACACTCTTTGTCATTGATTGCCTGCTTAAAAGAGTCCATTTGAGCAAAGATATCAGGTATGTTTGAAAAAACTTCACTTTGTGGGTCAAAGCTATTTCTTTTGCTAATACTAGCTCCAGATGTTTTTTTCTCAATATTTTTCATAAACTGTATAAGCAAATCTTGTTTTTCTAAAAGTTTATGTTCAACTGGAGCTTTTAATAAATTTCCTTCATTAACATGAAGCAAATAAGATAACCAATTGAGAACATACCTAATGATTAAAACATATCAATATTATGATTAGTTTTATAATTATATTTTAAAGTAAAAAAATGATAAGAGAAAAAAGAGTTTAAAACACAGAAAAATTGTATTGATTAAAAAGCAAATCAAAATACCTTCGCATCCAGTTAGGCATTGGAGGATCACAAGCAGCTTTATGATGCAGAGTCATTATGTAACACAATATTAGTATCATGATTACCATTTCAAACAATACAGAAAGATAAAATATGCTTACTAGGGGCACTGAGTCGCTAGTGTCAGGAATAATACCTGCAACTATTGTCATAAAGACAGTTAAAGATAAAAGAATAGTGAACACTAAGGATATTCGTTCTCCTAAAAAATAAAAACATAGTTAAGTGTTTTATACTAAATTTCAAAATATTCTGTTTGTATTCCATAAAAATCACAACATAAAATTTATAAATATAAACAGTTACTGGTAAAGATTGTTACTAAATAAGAAATTAAACAACGATGCGACTCGTAGAAAGCCTTAGGGTTTTATCATCGAGAACTGCTGAAAGATGAACGTATAAAATATTTCTCGTAGTAAATAAAAAAGTCATAATGTTTTGAACTATTGAAAGATAAACAAGATTGTAAACATTCTTGTTTACAAATTCATAGGACTTCTAATAAAATTTACAAACTACAATGAAAAAACACTCTTTTATATAAAAAAAAAATACCATTTATTGGCTGTAAAAGTTGTAGTCGGTGCCCCTACTACCCCCCGGGTATGCCCTGTCAATATAGATGTCAACATAGAATTATAGCTCATTCTCGCTTCTATCTTTTGATACTAAATTACAATAAATTTGACAAAAAATGATAAAGTTATAACAAATGCATTAAAAAAACTTTGACCACAGTTTCCATATCTTCAAAACTGTTCACTTAAAACCTCATGATTTTTTTTTGAATTGTTTGATTTTAATAATTTTTTTCATCTTTAAAATACTATATCAATGCTCTTTCCAGTAATATATAACATTCTAATATTTAATCAAATTAAAAATTCCATATCACATGCCTAATGTAATGCTATGTGGCAACGCTAAATAACATTAGTACCGATAATTTTGACTTTAACATTTGAATTATATAATAGTTCAGAATATTAATCAAGATAAAATGATTTTTTATTATTGAGCAACATAATATTGTGTTGTTTTTCATTTAAATCTATCAATTTTTTTCTAAACTTCCATAAAAAAATTTCTCTAATATTCTTAAGAAGAAAGCATGCATTACTTACTTTGACGTTTTTACCTTTTTTATGTTTGATAGCGATACCAGCGATACCCAACTTTTTAAAAACACTTAATGCAAAAATTAAAATATTGAATATATAAAAATATATAAAAATTTTGATGAATTTAGAAAAATTGTTCCTGTTAATTCTTGAGCCTATTTTTACTTCCTGTACACCTTCTCAGTAAGTTTCACTTTAAAACAGAAGAGTCTTCAAGGGGTGCAGAAAAAGAGTGGCAAAAAAAGAGTGAGTAAATTTGTTTAACTACTTCATTTTTAAATATTATATATTACTTGAGTATTATATGAAATACATACTATTTGATATGTGGCCTAAAAAGTCATAAAATCAAATATCAAATTTAATGCAAAATCAACTTATAAAGTTTTGTGGTAAGTCTGTTTAGAGAGGTTCTTCTTTTCAAAATCATTAAAAGCAAATATATTTCATTTTTAGCTGAAAAATCAGTATACTGTGCAAATCTTGAACTGACATCTTCTGCTTTTAGGAACACTTACAGTAAATGTTGAACTGATTTCTGTTGTACACAATTGGTTCAACAAATGAAAGTTCAAAATATATGTCCAAAAATAGTCAAAAATATGTTCTGCTTTTTCTAAGTACAATAAATTTAACAACATGTTAATGTGAAAGTGTCGATATCAGGAAATTATTCAAGTAAAAGAATGCTAGAAAAGCTCATTTAAGTAGCAGGGTAGTAGAAAAACCAAATGGCTTACTGTCAAAATTTAGAGAAATTATTTCAGATGTAGACAGGATTTTTGACATATTTTCATCTTTAGGTGAAAGACTTGTATTTATTTTAGATTTGTTTATTTATAATTATTGTTTGTCACTTTAAAAATATATACAAAGAATAGAAATAAAAAAAGCAAATTAATAATTAAAAAAAAAATTATAATAGTTAAAAAAGGTAAATTATTTAAAATAAAATATTAGAAAAAAAAAATATGTAGAAAAATATAAATCTACAAAGTAAAATATAGTATCAAATTAAATGAAGTTTAATCCCTGCCAAAAAAAAGGTTTCTAAATAAACCTTGCCTCGTGTTTCTTCTACGTCAAGCATAAAATGTGCTTATGGCCATGCCCAACTGCACCTTAGGTGAGACACTACTTACGTATAGCTTGGTAATTGAGTAGTTTTGGCTTACCATAATAACAAAATTAACTTTTTTAAATTTGTTTTGATCAATGATCCACAGAACTCTTATATTAAAATAATAAAATAGACCATACATGTTAGAAAAATTTGAATTTTGATGCCAAAACTAACCCGTAATGTAGCGCCGCATATTGCAGTTTTGTTTAGTCTAGCCAGTCTTGAACTTCTAAAACTATATAAACAGCAGTTGTTTTTGCACTCTCTCCAGTCTTTCTTCTTTTTTTTTAAGTTGACTTGGCACTTGTCTGATCTGTGCACATGTTTATTTTTATATTGCAATTTTGATTATATAATAATTTAACTATCAAATAATCAAATCGTGTGATAGTTATACTAAATAATAATTTTAAAAAATGTCTTAACAAATGTAAGTAAGCATTGAGTTTAAAAGCCTTAGGGTTCTATTTTAGAAACAATAACGATGCTTGTGATTTACAACTATTTTAATAGCGTAATAAAACAACTATAAATATTGTATTGCAATTCATCTTCATAAAACAATAACAATATCTGGAAAAAAAAAAGGTATTTTAATGACCCACTACAATAGCAATAATTATTGTAATGTAATACATTTATAATACAATAACATTTATTGTTACTGTATTATAAAGAGGTATTGTAATAAAAAAAATTATTGTAATGTCCAAACTTAATTGTTTTAAAAGTCCAGTGTCCGAGATATGTGACCTAAAAATAGGGTACAAATAATATATATTTATTGATTATATTTCTATTTTATTTACTGAATATCACTTGAAATTTTTTTTTTGCAAAACAAAAGTAGTTCACATTTTTAGACAATCTAATCGATAATTACCCAGGTCGATGATTCTCTGATTCCATAACGCTGTAATTTAGTACACATTAGCGGTTAATTATATTGAAAAAAAATATATATATTTTCATGCGCTTTATGAAGTTAATCAGTTAGTTTAGACGTCATCATCCAGTGAAACATTTTAATATCAGTTTAGACAAAATAATAAAAAAATCAAAAATTTCACTTCACGAAGTAAATAATTATTAATTACAAGCATATGATTATAAATTTAAATTTGTATGATTTTGAATGAATATTATTATTGTTAATTCTAAATAAATTATTATTTAAACAGTTAAATTTTTGAACTCAAAATAAATAAAATTTATATACGTAAATGGTTGCCATTGTTAACAGGTTGTAAACGAGTGCCACGAGCGCCCCTGAACTTAATATTTATTAAGTAAACATAATATACATATATATATATATATATATATATATATATATATATATATATATATATATATATATATATATATATATACATATATATATATATATATATAAATATTTTTCTTTGGCTTTCTTGGCTTCACTTCACTTCTCAAAATAAATAAAATTTATATATATAAATGACTGTTAAAAACAAGCGTCGCAAGCACCTCTGAATTTTCTAGTGCCCAAATAATAACAAATGCGTGGAAAAAGAACCTAAATACGTTAAAATACAATAGTTACTGTACTTTAAAATAGTAATACAATACACCACAAAAGATACTGTAATTGTTTTTCATCCTAACAATGCAATACAATAGTTAGTGTAATTATTTTACATCACAGCAATTCAATGCAATAGTTTTAGAACTTCAATGTACTGTTAGAAAAAAAAAAACACAATATATATTGTAACTACATTTAATCACAGCAATACATTAACAATAAATAATGTTTTATTGCATCTCTGGTACTACAATACAATATTATTGTATTGTAATGCATTATTGTATTTAATTTTTACAATTACATTTACAATAGTCCAAACCCTATAAAAAGCCTAGTAAAACTATTTTATTAAAGAAAAAGGATTGTTGTATTTATAGTATAATGGTTGTAAAATAAACCGTTAAATATTACTAATAAGCTTTTTTAAATAAAAACAAGAACCTGAACTGGCAGGAAGAATGAAGGATAGAATGGGAAGTAAGCTAATTACAATCAGCGGAAATATGAGATTGCATACATAAAACAACGACCTTCTTCGTAATTCTATTGTGTATGTAACATCAGGATAAAGTTCGGGACAGCATATGTATTTTTGTTCACTTCTAAGAGCGCCTGCGCTTACCAAATACCACTCAGTATGATTTGCAAATTTTTCTAAAAATATTGTTTAAAAAGATAAGCATTTAAAAAAAATTAAATAAAAAGTTAAACATTTATTTATTATTACAAGTACTGTAGCATTTTTAAAATGATAATTATACTATTATATTAATATGTAAAAAATAATGTAATAATCAACTTTTAAGTTCGTTCTTTTTTTAATACGGTTTACGTTGATAAAAATGTCAAAAGTCAACTATTAAGGTTATGTACAAAATCGTTTCCTCCATTTAACAATATAATACTAGCTTTTTATTGATGCGTAGAAAATATAACAACAAATACTTTTAACTCAAAAAAAGTATTTCTGTAAAATTGGCGAGAGAAAACTAGTGGTAAAAACAAGAAAAACTTGTTTTTATAACTAGTAAAATACAAGAAGTATGCCAAATGATGTTGTTATTTTATTATTACATTAAAAAAAAAAAAAAAAAAAAAAAAATACAGTCCACTAAGGGTCTGCGTATTGAAGCAAAACACTTTTTTTTAATATTTTTTAGCAGAACAAAGTTTTAAGACTCACAAGACTGGTTTGGTAATGAGATGTAATGGTATGTCTTAAATCAATCAAGAAGACCTTTATAGAGTCATGTTATATAGAGTCATGAAGAGGGTTAAATTTAAAATTTAATTTACAAAGTATTTGTAAGTATTTTACAGTGTCTTTAAAGCAGAGACCATTACACCATTGCTCAAGTAAAATGCTTGTATTCTTCTTTGTGCATCAATACTGCTCACTTATGGGCAGAATTGGAGAGACTGGGGTGGCATCTATTGCTTTGAGTACGTCCGTTATACAGTCAATGATACAGAACATGTCAAAAATTGTGTTACAATTTTGTTTTGTTAAAATTGTGATAACTTATGCTAAAAACTATAGACATTTTTGTGCCAAACTCTTTGGCAGAACTTGCATCAATTAAAGCATCAAGGGAACTTACATTAAGAAAAACTCCTGAATTTGAACTTCATAAAATTTCTTCAGATCTTGCAGAATGGCCTGATGATTTGTCTCATCTCCGAAAGCAATTACAGGTAAATTAGCAATACAGATAAAGGATTATGCTTTCCAAAAGAGTTACTTTTCCAATTTCAAAGTAAAACAAAGTAAAATTTTGTGCTTTAAACTACAATAGATTACTGACATATGATCAAACCATAACAAGTTCATGGCTTGTATACTCAAAAAAAGCAGATGCTGTATACAGTTTCTGCTGCAAGTTGTTTAGTGTCGATGGACAAAAACTTAGTAACAGTGGCTTTCGTGATTGGAAAAAAATTTATTCCATGTTAAGTGAGCATGATCGTTCACATAAGCACAAAAATTCCTTGATAAAATGGAAGGAGCTGGAAAGTCGCTTGAAAGCGATCAGTACAATCGATCGACAGAATCAGACTATCTTTCAGCCATAACAGCAATACTGGTAATCAGCAATTGATAGAACTTTAGGAATTATTCAATATTTGGAAAAAAAATTTGGATTTTTGTAGCAGTGAGTAAAAGCTTTTTGCACATGGGAATGGAAACTTTCTTGGCTTAGTGGAGTTATTGGCAAAATTTGATAGTGTCATGCAGGAGCATGTTCGTCGAGTAACCAAAAATCAGTTGCCAAATCATTATTTAATCAACAGGATTCAAAATAAGCTAATCATACTTATATCAAGAAAAGTGCAAACTGAATTTATTCATTGTCTAAAGGTGGTAAAATATTTTGCCCTCATATTAGATAGCATTCCAGACTTGGTTCATAAAGAGCAAATGATTGTAGTGGTACATTTTGTCGAAACTTCAGAAAATTCTGCAAAAATTAAAGAATATTTTTTGGGTTTCCTGGTAGCTGAAGATCAAACAGGTGAACAAGTTACAAAGTTAATAACCTTTCTGACTGAAAACGACATAAATATTGATGACTGCAGAGGACAAGGATGTGAAGGATGTGACAATGGAAGCAACGTAAAAGAAAGCATTAAAGGAGTGCAAGCACAAATTCTGAAACAGAACTCTTTAGCTTTCTTATCTCTGTGTGGTGTCCATTCATTAAATCTAACTGTTTCTCATGCAGGCAAATGCAATGCATCCACATTGTTTTTTTTTGGATATCTTCATCGCTTGCATGCATTATTTTTCAGTCTCACCACATAGATGGACAATCATGGAACAATGTGTTGGAGCTACAATAAAGAAATGGAGTGAGGCATGCTGGGAATCTTGATTAGAAAGTGTAAAAATTGTTATGAACCATTTATCTGAAATTTTGAAGCCACTAGAAGAATTAGAAGACTCAACAAGTGATCTCTTTGCATTTGCTGAACTGAGATCTTTGACAAACGAATTATCATCATAAGCCTTCAACATAAAGACTGTGATATGGTATGAACTTCTACTGCAGATTATTATTGCAAGCAATTACTCGCAGCCAAAAAAAAGAGACCTCAATTAGCTATGCAATATATCAATAATTGTAAAGTAGCTCTCAGTGCTCTTAGAAATAATTTTGACAGTTTGTTACTTAAAGCTCAGAAAATTGCAGCTAGTTGTTAAAATGATACTGAGCTGCCTCAACCTCAAATAAGAAAGACCAAAAAACAATTTCACTACAAATCAGCTGAACACAGTTTACACCAATAGAAAATATACGGATTAACTTCTTTAATGAACTGAATCATTTGTGTGGACCATTTGGATTTAATATTAAAACTGTTGCTAAAGAAGGCTTAGGGACTAGTTGTGAAGAATTGAAAACAAAACTGGATAGAAAGGGGAGAAGTAGTATTGACAACCAAGAGCTTTTCACGGAAATTTTGAATATTATCAACTTATCAGTACTATCAACTACCAGTTGATGTGACATCACCAATTGAAGTGCTTCAATATATTACCAAAAAAAATATGACAGAGCCATACCATTACCTTTGTATAGCACTTCGAACTCTACTGACATCTCCAGTCACTTTTGCTACAGGGGAGAGATTTTTCTCCAAGATGATATTGATTGAGACATATTTGAGTACCACCATGTTACAAGTGCGACTCAATGGGCTAGAATAACAGAGCATTGAGCATGAGATAAGCACTAGTCTAAAGTACAAGGAAATAATAAGAGAGTTAGCAATAATTAAGGCCAGAAAGATGGTATTGTAAAATTGGAAGAATATGTCAAGTTGTAAAACTTTTTCTTAAAATGCAGTTAACTGAAGGTGCTTTGAAATGATTTCCTACATTGTAATAATATACATCAAAATTAGTAAAAAGAATTGTGGTTTGGGGCCCCAAAACAGATCTGCACGACACTGCCATTCATATTACTTGTATACATCTTAATAATATACTCTCATGGTATTTACAAAGTTTACTTGTTCTTGCTATCAGGTTTCAGAAAAATGTTGGTTAAATCAATTAAAATGAAAATTAATGCAAATTTGTAATTATAAAAAAACAAACAATAATAATTAATGTAGCCATGGCGTAGTGTTTAGAGTTCCCAGTGTTCCGAGGTTTGATGCCGGCTCTAGCCTAATAAGCCTCATTGGTAAAGGAGGCATGAACTATGAATAGCTATTGTGTGATTAGTCATATGATTATCAAATAGAGCAATTAATGGCACACCCAATAAACCGATAAATGAGATCAATCAATGAATAAGACACACCAATGAACAATCATAACAAATTTTTGTTTAGTCAATCAAAATACAAAATTTTAATAATAAAATACGAAAAGAAACGGTAAAAAAAAATCAATGAAAACCATATTGAATGTGAAAAGAGATGAAAAAGGAATCACACGCTGAAAAAAAATTAATGAGATACAAAGAATGTGGTATAGTAATTTGCAAGTCAGGAATTGTAGAAATAGTATTGTGTAAAATAGTGCATACGTTTGTGAACTTACAAAGAACTGCTAAAAAGGCCCGTCATTAGCAACTCTGAAGCCAATCATTAAGGTCAATAAGAATCTCATTATTTTATTTGTAACTTGTAAAATTCTGACGTCACACGTTAACATGGGTCCGGTGGTCTTCTATTAGATTCGGAGAATTATATAAAATGGAAATGATTCTCGTCTTGTCTGCAGCTTGATTTTTGTCTCTGCTGATAAAGAGCATCTAAAGCGGTGTTCAACTTACCTTGAAAAAACTTTGTAGATGACTTCTTCGTGAAAAGTCTTGCACTTTTTTGAACATAACTTAAGTGAAAACTATAACACGCTAGTCTGGAGTTAATCAAAGGTATTTTATTAATAAAGTTGCACAAAGAAGATTGTGTAAAGATCTTCAATAAGACTCTTCATAAGCTTTATCTTATTATCACCTAAAGAGATGTTTTCTGAATTGCTTAAAAAGCTTTAAACCAAAAGTTTGTCAAGTTGATAAACTCAAATGACTAAATTCATTTCACCAATTTGACTTCATTCAATTAATTAGCAACTAGCTCAAGATTACGAAGCATCAGCAAAGATACAAAAATTTTACTGCGTTGCTTAACCAACTACTTTGCAACCTCGATGCGTACAAATCATCAAGTTTTTGAGGTTTAATAAACACATAAATCAGTTGTCTCGGTCAAATTTTTTTATCAAATAAAGCTTTTGCTATAAAATTTCTTGGTATCGTTTTGTATTTTGAAGTACATAATTAACCTATTAAAATTATTTTTATTTTAAATTATCAATAGGAAAACAGCTTTACTTATTATGCTGTATTCACATTACCTGTGATAATATTATTGTAACAAATAAATATTAACCCGTGTAAAAAAGTATTTTTTTATGAAAGCGGAATGAACACCAAGATTAATGTTACTAATGCTAGATAGCATTTTGAGAACTTGTCGGTTCTTTTGAAGTATGAGTGCTTCTACTCCTTTGTACACATTTAAGAATGGTGACAATGCTGTTAATCGGGTAATCAAATTTTTATTAAAAAAAAATTATCTTAACGAACAAAAAAAAAAATTTCCAGTTAATCTTTTTTAGTAAAACTTAGATTGAACATGGGAATTTTTTTGGCATTGTGTATTCATACTCAACTACTAAATACATACTCGCGGCCCAAGGCGGCCCTGGATGCAATGATGATAATATTTGAAGACACAATTGTAACATGCAATGGTAAGATTTAAAGTTACGATAATAAAATTTGATTGTGGCTATATCAAGCACAAAATTTGGGAATTTTATCATAATTATTCAATGCAGATTTTTGCAATAAGAGGATATTTGCTATGTTTCATAAGTCGGTGTCAATTAAAAATTGTAAAAGAATATTATTAGTTAAAGACATTTTCTACTGTCGCATCTAAATTATATTTTAAAACACATTTATACAACCTTTATAGTCATATCTTACGTTTCTTAGGTGCAATTTAAAAAATCTGAATTACATCCTAAATTTCCTAATTTTAAAATGCTGTGAGCTTGTGTGATCTGGTGTAAAATGATAAAGTTTAGGTAACTAGTTTGCCTTTACGCAAGTTTGCCACCAAAAGACTATGAAGTATTTCTTGCAAAGTGGAGGACTTTATTTGTACATCCTTTGCACATACTTAATCACAAAAATTAACTTTCACTCATTTATCAACAACCAATCAAAAAACTTAAATTTATGACATTAAGTACCAAGAACAGCAGAAGGACTTTCATTTATGATGTTCAAGCGATGCTTATCATGTGTCCAACTTCCAAATTTAAGCGGACATCTTTGAGTATCAAAAGGAAAATACTTTACGTCCATATCACATTTACTTGTTAAAATAAGAGGTGTTATCCATGTTGTAACACCTGTATTATCTAATATAATACGGTTTCTCATTGTCTCAAGGTTTCCACCAAATAATCGGTCCTCCCCAGCACTAATAACAATCATTTACAATTTTAGTTAAGTAAATTGAATTGAGCTGAATAGAAACTACTTTTTCCACAATCAAAAAAAAAAAAAAATTAAAAAATAAAAATATTTATAAAATGAAATTTATAAACAACTTTAAAATAAGTATAAAGCTAAAATAAAATAAAATTACTAAAAAAAATTGAATTATAAGCAAAAAAAAAAAGCCATTAGTTAAAAAATACTTGTTATAAAGTACAATATCTGGTTTCCAAACTTTTGATGGGTCAATGTGTATTACACTAATGTTGCTATATTTTTCAGGATGCCATTTTAAAAATGGATTTTGCCATATCTAAACATTAAAATTCTTATTTGAAAAAAAACCAACTGTTAAAAAAAAAAAATTTAAAAAAATTTTTAATTTTTTCAAATTTTAGTTTCATGAAGTTAATATATACAAGTTATACCTGCTTTACCAAAGTACTCAACACTAGCAGCTCCTTTTTTTCTTGCTAAACAATAAAAAAATAATAATACTGAATAAAAAACAAAATAATAATAATAATACGGAATGAAAAATCAAATAATAATAATACTGAATAAAAAATGAATAATGTAAATTCTGAGTTACAAAACTACATACATAAAACTATTCTATATATATTGAGAGTTTTTAATTTATTTTTTTTTAAATTTTTTAACTATTTACTGTGAAAACAGACTCAACAAAAAATTTCTAGATTTTTTCAATTTTTATTGAATATACTATAAACGCTTTTTCGAACTTCTCAAATGTTTTCAAAAATTTATGAAAGGTATGTCCATATAAAAACCGAAAAGTTAGTACAAAAATCTTTAAAGAAACGTTTTTGACGTTTTTTTTTTTAATTTTAATTCACCTCCTCAAGGCCGAGAAGGCCACTACAGACGAGGAGGCTAGTTATTTGTGGCTATAACCCTCTCTCAACTCTATAACTCCGAAACACGAACCTTGACAAACAAGGCCGCTGCGCGGAGAAATGAGTTGAGCGCGGTACTACCAGGGACGTGGTGGGGATCGAACTCGGAACCACTCGTTTATGAAGCGAGCGCTTTACCACTACACCACTACCGCATTTAGTAATTCGATGTTTATGTTTTGCATCAAATACAATTTAAAGTCTTTTTTTTTTTCGCATAGAGTTTTTTTTGTCATATATTAAAATTTACAATTAAATAAATCGTGTTAATAAATAAGAGAGCTGGAGCAAGCAGAAGAAATAAATTGTCTTAAAATCAAGCCCTATCATAAAATTTACATTAAAAAATTGTCAGTTAATATACAAAAATGAAGAGCAGCTAAGTACATAATAAGAATTTTAAACACGTTAGTTACAATATAACTTATAACATAATATAAAAATTAGTGTTGGAATATAACGCATTATATTAAAGGTTAACAATAATTTAAAAGTATTAAAGTTTTTCAACAAAAAATTAAATTAGATTAAAATTGTAACAAAAGAGAAGTAGTTAAAATAACTATTTTTTTTAAGATAATTTATATTATTTAATGTATTTATTTTAAAAGAGATATTTTAGATCAAAGTCTTTTTGTAATAATATATATATGTATATATATATATATATATATATATATATATATATATATATATATATATATATATATATATATATATATATATATATATATATTTCTTGATATTTTATTTTCTATATACTTTATATGTGGTTTCCATGACAAATTTTCATCTATTATTACTCCTAGAAAATTAAAGATTGGTTCCCTTTTAATAAATGTTTTATTGATTTGGAGAGCTTTTATGTGTTTTTTGGAATAAAAAAGATTGGAATCGTCTGCAAACAGTATAAGATTTAAAACATTTGATGTTAAGTATAAATCATTTATACACAATAAAAATAATGATGGTCCTTAGATTGAACCTTGGGGCACACCACATGTAATATGTTTTTCTTTTTCTTTTTTTTTTATATAAATAATACATTATGACCTGTTTGCTAGGTAGTCTTCAAACCAAAGTAAATTTTTATTTTTTACTCCATAGAGTTCTAGTTTTTTTATAAGTATCTTATGGTTAACAGTGTCAAAGGCTTTCAGCAGATCAATAAAAACTCCTAAAGTAAAATAGTCATTATTGAATGCATCCGATACATGATTAATTAGTTCGATTACAGCATGGTTAGTTGAATTATCTTAGTTAGTTAGTTATCTTTTTTGAAATCTAAATTGTTTACTGTACTGTACATTTCATTAAATGAGTGTTAATTTTACATATTCATAATACATAACGTAGAATGAAATTAGTATTATAAATATATAAATAAATGTTTCTCTAGACTTAAGTTGTTTTGCTTTTATAATTGTTTACATCTATAAGTTGTTCATATTGTTTGATAAAGACCTTGCTCCTATTCTATATAATGTTTAACAAGACGTTAACTAAAAACAACAATATTTCACATTGTTAAAAAAAACTATTTAAAAAAAGACAATTTTAGAATCATAAGCATAAGATAATAAATCAGTTTGGTAGTTTTTTTCTTTTTTTCTGGGGTACTTGTTTTATTGTTTCTCTCACTCATTTCTTTAGAAACTATCAGAACATTAAAAAACATTTTAAAAAATAAACACCAACAAATTTAAAATAAAATCTGTATTTAAAAAGTATTACGTACTACATCCACAAGCTGACACAAAATCAATCCAAAAGTTACATTAACTGTGTCCTTATCATTAACCACTGGTCGTACAGAAGGGTTATAGTTATTGGTTTCAAATAAATCATGAAAAAGCTTTTCTTCATGTTGATGAGGAAAACTAGCTAATTATAAAAAAATGATTTTTTTATCTAATATACTGTAAAGAAACATAAATACTATTAACTAAATTATTAAATAAAGTTTTAGTATAAAATTTATTAAGTATTAAAAAAAACTTGTAACATATATTTAAAATATAGTATGACATATACTATATGTCGATAGCTTTTAAGAAACTTTTAAAAAAATTTTAAAAAACTTTTAAAAAAATAAAAAAATTTATTAAATATTAAAAAAAACTTGTAATATATATTTAAAATATAGTATGACATATACTATATGTCATACTATATTTTAAATATATATTACAAGTTTTTTTTAATATTTAATAAATTTTTTGATAAAGAAACTTTTAAAAAAATTTTAAAAAACTTTTAAAAAAATAAAAAAATTTATTAAATATTAAAAAAAACTTGTAATATATATTTAAAATATAGTATACAACCCGCGGGATTGTGACCCTCAGTTTTATAGCGATAGCTTTTAAAAAACGCGAGGGTTTTATACGCGAGGAGCGATAGCTTTTAAAAAACCCGCGGGGGTTTTATAGCGATAGCTTTTAAAAAAACCCCCGCGGGGGTTTTATAGCGATAGCTTTTAAAAAACCCGCGGGGTCACAACCCGCGGGGTTGTGACCCTCAGTTTTATAGCGATAGCTTTTAAAAAACTTTTATGTATAAAAAAATGTATTTAATAAGTTATAGGTAGTCGGTAAAATGCTATCTACAAACCGCAAACTGCGAACCGGTAAAATGCGAACCGGAAAAATGAGAACCTATTTGCGTTGCGTTGTTTGTTTTGCGTTATATTTTAATGGCCACTACTGTTATAATATTTAAAAAAACATTTGCTCGTCAATTTTTTAAATTAAATTAAATTTAGTGTAATTTGATTTATTTTATTTAAATTAGATTGTATTTCTTTTAAATTAAATATATTTTATGTTTCTGCTTGAAGTCCATAAAATATATAGTAAAATAAACAATTTAACGGCAAACTGAAAATGAAAAACAATACATCATAACAAATAATAGAACTAAGGTTTGCAAAAAAATTTGTATTTTACCGACTACCCTAGTTATATTTATAAAAACACTTTTATAAAATCACCAATTTTAGATTCCTATTTTTGAATGTTCCGGGAGCCATGTTATATGTTAAAACTGAATTTTGAAAAAAGTTATTGATGTAATTAAAACTTAAACAAAGACAATAAAAATAAAAATATATTTTTTGGATTTTTTTTTTATTGAACAACAAAATAACTAGTGGGATATCAAATTGCGTCAAAATTTTTGTGCTGTGGATACTAGCTCGGCTTGCGAACGTGCGATTGCTGGTTTCATTGTAGGAAGGATATTTAATTTTATGTTGCATTAAAAAAAAATTATGTATTATTTTAAAGTATATTTTATTAAGTTAAGTGTAAAACCAATTATAAATAATAACCCTGTGAGAAATCGGCTAGCGAATAGCTAGCTATAATCGTAACGATAAAGACAGCGGTTTGGCCACAAAGATCGCTAGCTTTTTTAAGTGACCGAAAAGCTATCGGTATTTGTAAACTAAAAACAGACATTTGGTTAAGAGGACAGCCAGCTTAATAAGCTAAAGACTCACTTGCGATTGTAGCTAGCGTCATATCGTAATAAAGTCGTTGCCTAAAAAAATTTGGTATGTAATTTTTAACCTGCTATAGATTTGTAGATATTTTGTAGCTAGCTACGAAGTTACGATATGTAGCTAGTTATGATATGTAGCAAAGTTACGATATGTAGCAAAGTTACGACACATTGCTACAAAATCGCAATGTTTAAAGTTCGATTACCATCATAATTATAATAAACTCAACATTAAAAATCGAATTTTTAAAGATGTTTAAGACATTAGAAAATAATAAAAAAGGGAAAAAAAAATCGCTAGAAAATTGCTATAAAGCTAACTAGCCGCTCGCTAGTCGCTTGCTCATATCCCACCAGGAACATTATTATTATATTTTTTTTTTTTCATCAGAGCAAAAAGGTTCGAGGTTGGCCTGATAAGTGACACGGGTAAAGAAGGAGGCGTAAACTTTCTGTTTAAATCTATATTTTTGGTTACTAAGGTGCTCCCAGAAGTTCACCGTGGATAAGAAGTTATCTAGAAAGTTCACTCCTTTTTCCATACCAATGTCTCTGAATAAGTTAAAACCGATATCGCTTAATGGCAGCGTCGAATCTCGGACCTCTTGGTACTCAGAGCCAGAACTCTAACCAATGCGCCACGACTACAAATTTTACTCAATATTCTGTGGTAAGATCGTTAGGTGTTATCGCAGAGTACCGTGGAAGAGCATTTGACTTCGAGTAACTAAACAACTAAATAAAAAAACATACTGCAGGCCTCTCAGATTTAAATCAGAAAAAAAATTAAGAAAGCTAGTTCTTGCAGAAAACGAGTCAACCATAATGAGCATCTATTTTAATATACATCCATCATAACATCTATTAAAAATATAACAATATTCTTTGTTAATTTCAATATCCATTGTTAATTTCAAAACAATAAATGAAGAAAAACCTAGTCTATCATTTCTATAGCAACTATCTCTTATCAATGCTGCTCAGTGTGGAATTCATCTATAATCAAAATGAAAAATCTATTCTGAATATATTGAAAATAAAATCTAGCAATATGTTGTTCTATTTTTTAAACCTAAATCTTAAACTTTTATTCATACTTATTATCTCTTTAATGTGTTATTTATAAAATGGCTGACTAAAATTGAAGATGAAAAGAATGTTGTTATATTCAGCAACTCTTAGGTCTGAGCTAAATATTAAAAAAAAGGTTGATTAAGTCTCTCAAACAACGGTAACACAGCTAGGCGTTTTTTTAAGAATACGATATCTCAGCTAATGTAATAAGCAGAGATATATATCAAATGAGGATAATTTTGGTTATTCTAACCATAATTTTATTATGTTATGATAACTATTTTTCAAAGTTTACTAATTTTAATAGGAAACATTTTTACTTAGTGTGTATCTGTACTCATGGTATCCAATAGCTCAACCACATCATAAGATTTTTGTTTCTTCACTATATATAGTGAAGAAACAAAAATCTTATGATGTGGTTGAGCTATTGGATACCATGAGTACAGATATGACAATGACTTTATATATAAAGTCATTGAGCTACATAGTTTTTTTTATTTAGTTTTCTGAACATATATCAGAAGACTACAAATAAATTATTGGAGACTTTTTGAGAAAATTTTACAATAAAATACATAAGTGGATGAAGTCGTGAAGTGGATGAATGTCGCAAAAATATGTTTCCAATTTTTTACTTATAGATAAATGTTTTAATTAACGCTCTTTGACATAAACTTATAAGTATTTATAAACCATAAAATTTTTTATAGTAACTGAGTTAATTATCTTTGAAAGTTAAAAACTTTAATAATAAAACAAAAATATGCAAACATAATTTTTAAACTAAACCAGTAGCATTTTATTTTTAACATATTAAAAAATAACAATTATTCTTTTCCATTTCTATGTTTATATTCTTATGCATTTAGTTCTAGAGGGGGTCCAAAGTTCTATATTTCTTGTTTAATCAATTATTTTTTATCAATTTTTTGAGAAAAGTTCATAAAACAATTCAGTTTTTGCTAAATTTTTATCGTTGACCTTCTACTTCTATTTTTAAAATTTAAATATATAAAAAATAAGTCTTTGCAAAAGTTTCTTTGCATATAAAGTTACTCATCTTTTCTTTCAAATTTATGCTTTTTAAATTTTGATTGGATAAATATGATTTTTAATCGTTGCGTTTTAGAAAAAAAAAAGTTTTAACTTAAATCTATTTCTAAAAAAACGTTTTAAATAAGTAAAACGACAGATTGCTTCAAAATATTTATGCTTCAAAAGTTTAATCTGAAGTCTCTTTCTAAACAAAACGTTTTAAGTTATCAAAAAGACAGATTGCTTCAAAATATCTTAATTCTCTTTTTTTTATTTTTTTTTATTGTTATTCAAGCTATCAAGAAGGCTATTCAAGATTTTTTTTTTTTTTCATTACTTTTCTTTAATGAAGTCAAAAATAAATCTTTTTTTAAAGTGCCAGTCAGTAGAAGTTCAGTTTTAAAGGTTTTCAAATTCTAAAGGTTTAACAAAGATAAACAGACTAAAGGAATACCGGTACCTAAAAGGTTTTATAAAAAACAAACTGGGTGATCAAATTTTGAAATTTTCTGCTTTTCTCTAAAACGCAGTGAACAGCTAGTTAAAAAGAAGAAGCAGTTAATAAGTATACCTCAAAGAGGTTAAATGATTGTATCATTCTTGCTAGACTATTTTGGCAAAAGTTAGCCTCAGGACTTAAAAAAAAGAAAATTATTATATTTTTGGTTGATTATGGAATATGATTAGTATAAACTTTCTAATTAAGTTGTTGCAGTTGGAAAGCTTTGGAAAAAAACCATTTAATTTCAACAGTAGATGAATACTTAATTATTTAAACCATATAAAAAATGAAGGTTCGCATAGTTTGAAAATATTTTGGAAAATTATTACCCAATTATTTGTCCAAGAAGTTGAAACTATGGAATATAGATGAAATAAGCTATAAAAACAAATGGATAACAATGGAAGAGCAGCACACTTTACATCAGGTATGCAAGATGAGTTCTATTTTAGTTTGATTAAAGTTACAAGGCAGGCCATTTAGCTGTGAACTAAACATTATTGAAGTAGATAAAGAAATGTTAAAATTAAAAAAAAGTTCGAAAAATGAGTTTCTTTATTTTAGGGATACAAGTAGGTCATTGTCGCGGAGGTCTATTCTGTTTAAATACATGATTGTTGATATAAAAATACAAACCTCCATCCTATGTCTGCCAAAGAACACGCTCATAACCTAGATGTTCTACATGGAAAGTTCCCGCAGCAATCTTCTATCACATGATGACTTTATAGTTATTTTTCATTTTCAATAGTAAAAATAACAAACCGTATGAATTATTTTCATATATAATGCTTAATTTTTTTTGTTACTTATAAATCATAATGTATATTTTTGATAAATTAAACGGAAAAATATTTCTACTTTTCTACTTTTCTTATATTTAATGATAATAGTAGTTTCATCTATTTTTAACAATGCCTTTTTTTGTCAATATATTCACTTTTATTAAAATCAAAGTAGAAGACTAAATAATTAAAATGAAAAAAATGAAGATGATTTTCAGAATCAGCATGAAAAACTAATTAAGAAAAATTGATTAAACTATAAAAAAATCTAAAAAAAGATGATTATGGACCCCCCCCCCCATTTGTTCCTAGCTAAATATTTAAAATATATAAGAATATAACTATAATTGTAACTAACTATAAATAAAAAAGTCCAAATAATCAAGTATTAACATTCAGAGTTATTGTATTTAGAGTTATATTGGGTAATTTATAAATGACATTAAAAAATAGATATCGAAAAAGATAAATTATAGAACTTTAACTAATTTTGTGATGTGTTTGCATCGAGAGAAGACTACATCATTTAATTATTTTGCACCTTCATAAGATAACTTAATGTTGTATGCAGGTGACAACATCAAGTTATTGAAATTATTGAAAAAATGCTGAACATTTTTTCAACAATTTCATTCAAATTTTAATAATGAAAATGAAGATGAGGAAGTTGAAGAAGATGATGATAATACTTAACTAGAACACCAAAAATATTCGTAAAAGTTGCATTCCATGTACATTTAATTTGCTACGCAAATTTAACACTAGTTCATACAGCAATCTATACCTAGCATATAAATCTTAACGCTAGCATGAGCTCAAGTTAATTGTGAATGAGAATTACCTAGCATATAAGTACATCTTAACGCTAGCATGAGCTCAAGTTAATTGTGAATGAGAATTTTCAAAATAAAAAATCAGTTAAGATTATCAATGAGCAAGCAAGCCTGAAAGACACGCTTCCTTACCATAAAACTGTTACTAATATTTTAGCTCGTTTTAAACTCGTTTTATTAAGTATTTTGGAAACTGTTACCTTAACTTGCTGCCGTGGCGCAGTGTTTAGAGCGCTTGCTTTATAAGCAGGAGATCCAGGTTCGAAACGAGCTTTGGACATATATCGCGTCACGGTAAGGAAGGAGGCGTGAACTTCCTGGTTAAATGCACTTCCGGGTTAAATGTACTTCAATATTCAAGTTTTGAACCATAGTTACATTTATAATAGTTTGTACTTTTTGTAAATAAAACTAAATAGTAAATAAAACTAGAGTTTTGATAATTTCAGATTATAAAAATAAAGTTTGGAAAACATTACAAAAATTAATCAAATATGTTTGCTCGATTATTGAAATAAATTTTTTTAATTAATTTAACTTTAATATAAATAAATTTAACTGGCAAAAGTCACAGAAAATTTTATTATTTGGGTTTTCCAAATACCCACTTACATCCTGGGTCGGAGACCCAGGATGTTTGTGAGTATTTGGACCCACTAACATCCTGGGTCTCCGACCCCTCAGTCTGCTTTATAACTAATAATGATTATAAACAGTTTAAAAAATAAACAGATCTAAAAATTATTTATAATAATATAAAATTAAGATATTTTTTATTTGGATCCTAGAGAAACCTCAAGAACTTATCTATAAAAAAAAAGAGACAAAAAAAGTAACGTAATTTTTTTTCTAAAAGACAGCAATTCGTAACTTACGCAAATTTAGTTTTAAAAATTTTTAAACCTCTTGACCCGTATAACTACTATTAAAAAAACATAACAATTTATTCATATTTTAAACTCTAAATTAGATATATACTATTATGTATTCATTATATATTAAAAAGTTTCAATTATTTGAGCAAGCTTAATGCAAACTTCTCCGTTCTTTTTTGTCTGTTTTTAAAAATAACTTAAAAAACTATCATATTTAAATATTTTTAACGGTATTTGTAAATTCATTATAAATTAAAATGCGTATTTTTTTTACCGATAAGAACAAGGAAGTTGACAATAACAACTTTGAACAACATACCAACAACCTTGATGAACTTTTTTTTTTCTTTCTAAAACAGTAGAAACACTTAGTTAATAAGGAAAATTTATGGTTAAAAGCAGATCAGAGTTAGATAACATTGTTTCCATAATCACCTTTGTTCTCTTAATATACTATTGGATTAAATATATATTTGTTACGACGCACAGTCAGAAAGGTGAAAAAACGGCAAAAATTATATAACTATCATTTATAAACGTGTGATATATCAATACTATCGTATTTTGGGTCAAAAAATTTAAATTTGTTATTGAAAATATTTTTTACGCGTACCTATGACGCGTACAACGCAAGCTTACGCGTGTAAATGTCATTTACGCGCGCAAAATATGATTTAAATAAATAAATCGCATTCTTTGATCCAAAATACCATATAAAAAAATACCACATATTTTTTAATATAAATTTTTCTTGTGCCTAAGGGTCGTACACGCGTACAAGACTCTAACACGTATACACGCGTATACGTGTTATAGTCTTTTATGCGCACAAAGACTTAATTTAAAATTATTAGATTCTTCAAACCAAAACATATACTTATTAAAAAGAAAAACTGGATTCAAAAAATCTTTTAATATTATAATAATATTAAAGTATATTAAATACAAAATAAATATTTATCTCATCTAACTTTTCTTTCAAGAAAACAAAAAAAGAAAACCTAAAGTTATAAAGAACGCTTTATTTCATTATTACAGCATTAACAAAGATAAAACTACAGGGTTAAGTGTTTTTCCATTTTCAACCTTGTATTTTTTGAAACAAATGTTTGATATTACAGGATCACTTCTAATCAAGAGGTATTGGTACTGGTTTTTCATAACATTCTTTCTTGATATCTTGGCTGTATGGTTTAATCTAGCTTTGCGAATTTCCTTATTAAGAGCCTCTTGTGACTCTTCAGAGTAGTAACCAATTGGCAGTTCTAATGCCTCAGATATCTGCACACCATGTTCCAAGAGTTTATGAACAGTTGGGGGAATCATATACTAGCAATAGTTTTTGAGTATAAGTGCTGTAGTTTCATAGCAATACTGGCCAAAACTTTCTGAGTTTAACTCATAACAGGAGCATAATGATATTAAGATTGTCCTCAATCTAATAATTACATCTACTAACACTCCCGTTATATCAGCGAAAGTTTCAGCATTTTCAAATGCCCTTCTAGCAGTGTTTCCATCGTTAGTATTGCCAAAACCTTGTTTAGGCATATCAACTATAAGATTTAACTCCTCTCTAAACCTCAGTTGGATGTTTTTTTTTCTACTTTTCACTGATGCTTTTTCAGCGGGGGATTTGGCAAAGTATTTTTTAATGTTTCACTTATATCCTAAATGTAAAATATATTCAAAAGATCTGAGCCAGCAATGCAGAGTAGAAAGGCCTAAAGATAAAGCTTTTTCATTAATTGGTTTAGATCTGATCAATTCTGGTCTATTAAGTTCACTGGGCTTAGATCCGAAAATAATACATGATTGGGAGGACAGAGTGTTAGTGAGGGCATTAACCACTTTAGCATCAAACATGGTTAAATCTAGTTTGAACTTAAATGTGATTGTCGTACCCAGTTTGCCTTCCTCTACTTCTAACTTTACTTCAAACTTGACTAGTCTATTCATTTCTGCTTTTAAAAGTTCATACTCATTTCGTATCAATTGTTCCGTTTCTTTTTGATGTTGAAGATGTAAGGGTCTACAGTAATGTGTACTGGAAGGCTTCTTATTTAACCATATATTTTTGTTCGTGATGGTTAATTTAAGTGGAACAATAGCTGTCTGGAAAAGACTTTGCTTGTTAACTTGGGCCTCACCAATATTTGTATCAGTATATTTTTGTTTATAGACACTTTGACTGGAGGCACCATCAAAGCCATCTTTAAAGTGAAGTACACCTTTAAACTTCCCCCCAATTTCTGCAAACATCCTCATAGAGTCTTGGCATTCCGTAAAAGTTAATATTCTTGTCAGAGTATGATTAAACATACCCTGTAGAGGAGTTGAAGCCGATGTTTCTGTCACAGTTAAACCCTCAGGATAACACTTGTGTCTCTCATTCTTAATTTCGTGAAGTGAAGGATAAATATCTGCATTATGTATTATTGATGAATTTCTAATAATTTGATACTGCTCATCAGAAAGGTCACACTGAACTCTTAAGCTCAAGGCATCTTCGATTTTCATTTTTATCGGAAAATTTATCTCCGTGATATTAACTTTTTCAGAGTTTGTTGCACTTTTCATGAGAACAACGAAATCTTTTTTGGTAGGATCTCTAGTGGCTTTTTTAATTGAAGCTAATGCCAATGCTTCAGCAGGATGTTCAGCCAATTTGGCAACCTTAAACAAGATGATATTTAATATTTATGTTTGTTAACTATTTTTTCAAACTGGGTTGAACTTAATTTATTTATTATTACCTTAGATCTTCTGCTTCTGTCACCTAAATCTTCCTAGTTCTTGCTCTTTCTGCCCGAACCTGCGGCAAAGTTTTTTTTGTCAACAGTTACATCTTTGTTCAACCAAGTTTGCTCGTGTTCCAAAAGTCTAGAGAAGGTTCTTGAATATTTCTGCAATTTTGATCGGAATTTACATTTAAATATTATTAGAGTTTTCTTTAGATTTATATTTTAGGTTTGTCAATACTTTCATAGTACAGACCCTCCAGTCTACAAAACTCACGTATAAGAGCTTTGAGTAAATTATTATGATTAATTCCTAACTCTTGAATTATAGGGACTAAATGTATTCTTTTCATGTCTAATGTAAGCAATGAACTATTGTTAGTTATTTTACACGCAAGTTTGGATTTTAAAATATGCACTATAACATCAAATATTGCATATTTTGGTTTTGAGGTTTGATAATTAGCACCATCTGCTTGACCATGAGTTTTTTTTATTTCATTAGTAATAGGAACTAAATATATTATTTGTGTGATGAATGCAAGCAATGAACTATTGTTCGCTACTTTATGCGCAAGTTATAATTAAAAACAAAAAAAAAAAAAAAAAAATGCAAAAAAAAAACGAAGTATTTAAAAGGTGTTATTTTAATTGGGGCAAGTTGGGGCAAATGATTTTTATTTTTTCTGCTTTCATATATACCTATTAATGGGAAAATATTAAAACTACCATGGAATCTAGTGGAATCTTTTAGTTTTTGAACTAAACTCATAATTAAACTAATTTAAAAAAATCAATTTATGACATATTTTTGAGATCTCAGTAATGAAAATCTAAAATTAAGATTTATTGTTAAAAATGTTGTTAATAGTTACCAAACATTTTCAACATATGACTTCAAATTAAATTTTGAACTGTTTTTACCTATATCAATCTTAAAAGAGTGACACTAAAGCGAGACTTTTTTTAACGAGTTTTCCGATAAGTAAAATAAAATAAATAAGTCTCGGAAAAAGACGTATAAATTGGTGAAATCTTAAAAATTATTCAAAAAAAATTTATTTATTGTCTTTTAGTGGTATTTAGTGACATTATAAACTAATTATTAATTTTCTTGCAAAAGGTTTTTATGGGGGATTTTTTGCCGTTTTTTATTGATTTTGCAAAATCAATAAATATATATATATATATATATATATATATATATATATATATATATATATATATATATATATATATATATATATATATATATATATATATATATATATATATATATAACTAGTAGAAACTTAACCTTGCGGCGCACAATGAGTCAAATTTGACTCATTGTGCGCCGCAAGGTTAAGTTTCTACTAGTTATATATATATATATATATATATATATATATATATATATATATATATATATATATATATATATATATATATATATATATATATATATATATATGTATATATATATGTATACATACATATATATATATATATATACATATATATATATATACATATATATACATATATATATATATACATATATATACATATATATATATTCATATATATATATACATATATATATACATATATATATATATATATATATATATATATATATATATATATATTATTTATATATATATATGTAGATATATATTTATATATATATATATATATATATATATATATATATATATATGTATATATATATATATATATATATATATATATATGTATGTATATATATATATATATATATATATATATATATTTATATATATATATATATATATATATATATATATATATATATATATATATATATAATATATATATATATATATATATATATATATATATATATTTATATATATATATATATATATATATATATATATATATATATATATATATATATATATATATATATATATATATATATATATATATATATATATATGACAGAAAAAAACACATACTGAAACTTTTTAGTCCCTGTGTAATAAGGTAAATATATATACTCAAGAGGTAATCCACTGTTATTCAGGGTGGTAGCCCTCTTTCAGAAAATATCAGGAGGTAATCCACTGTTATTTAGTGTGGTAGCCCTCTCAAAAAAAGCATGGAATTCGACTATGAATGCTTAGAAGAACCAAATTGGCCAACAATTCCAAGTGCATCTGCTGAAGTTACCAAAAAAATGCATAATTGGTGTGGCTAAATATATCATATATTGTTTCAGACCTTTTAAAACGACTTAAAATTCTTGAAGATGAAAAGATAAATAACTTAACAGCAACAACAAATAAACCAACAACAATATTCACATATGGACAAGCAACATCAATTCAGAAAAATCAATTAAAACCAAAAGAAACTGAAGTGGTAATGATGGCAAAAATTACAAACGAGTTTAATAACAAAAAAAGAATTGAAAACAACATCGTTATAAGCGGAGTTGCTGATCATACTACTTTAGACAAACAAGTTAATGAAGAAAATGATAAACAAGCCATTGAAACAATTTTAAAAGCAATTAAACCAGATTTTTCAATAACAAATGCAAAAAGAATAATTCGATTAACTAATAAAGCTAAAAGACCAGA